TGAATTTTAAAAAAGCCTATACCCTAAAACAACTGGGCACTGTAGTTTTTTATCAAACATTACTCAAACAGGAGAAAATTGTGTATTTTTATTGGGGACAATTACAACAGCAGGACAGTGTATATGAGTCAAAATAAACTACTGTGCCCATGTTTATTGTAACTAATGTGTTTTCAATAGTTTTGGAGAAAAGAAAAGAATAAGATCCAGCTTTGGCTGCACAACACTGAGTATGTAACAGTGTGATCTATTCATTGTTGGTTTTGGAGGTTTGTTAATAGTAAGAAAAATATAGAATACTGCCAGACCTATCCTGTACAAATGCAATTTTTTTAGAAATTTAATAAACAGAAAACACATTGTAAAAAAAAAAAAAAAACAGCTGATGGTCGTGTTATCAGAGTTCATCTCATCTACCTGAGAATATTGCCAACATGTTATTGCTTAGTTAAAAATTAAACCGTAGATAAATAAGCACCAACTGTGTCATTTGCAGAAAGTGCAGCACTGACGTTTGTTCCATGTTGAGTGAGCTGTGTTTTGACACATGGATCCTACTTCATTATGTATTTATGAATTTTACACCGTGTGTGTAGAATATACTGGCATGTTAGAGCTTGGTACAAATCACCTTGCCGTGGTGTTCGCTGAGCAGCTGCACTGGAGCCGCTGACTCATGTATTAGATCACGATTATGTAGAGTGGGGTCCAGAAGTCTGAGACCACTTTCTGAACGGGGAAGTGGTCTCAGACTTTTAGACCCCACTGTATGTGTGGTGTTAATCATTAAGTTGTTGGTGCTTTAGTTCAGGATGTGCGGCCTCAGCCTGCTCTTCAATTTTAATAATAATAGTAGTCGTCATGGAGACCAACTACTTCTGCGTATACAGTGTTTGATATGCATCAGTATTGTGTCGGTCTCCATCCCCTGCCTGTGTGTTGTGTCGTCTCTCTCAGGGTGTGTAGTGAAGCTCTGGCCTACTTCATCAGTCTGACCTCAGAGAGCCACAGAGAGGCTTGGAACAGCCTGCTCATGCTGCTGCTCACCAGGACGCTACGGCTGCCCGATGACAAGGCAGGAACACACACACACACGCAGATGAACACATAGGGGGTTTACTTACAACTACATGTTAATCAGAAGTAGGACAGGACAAGACGGGGATGCTTCAGAACTCAAACCTGTATTCGCAAACATTATGGAGGATCAGAAATTAAAGACAGGATTGGAGCAAACATATCATTATTAGTTAAAAATTAGGAGAATCAAAACTATATGTGCTAGTCAGGTTGGCTCTTTATATTGTTTTGTTTTTGTGATTATTTTGTATTCTGTGAGCTGTCACCCATGAATCATGCACTCTGTGTGAGTCCATGATTCATGGGTGACTCATGGCAGCCTGTGACTCTGGGTTTATTTCCAGGGCATTTCAGGCCAAAGCTATAGCAGTTTTCGGTTAGAAAACAACCCAGCATGCAGCATGAAGTGGTAGGAAATGTTGGTGTCATGCTGCCAGCTTTAGAAGAAAATGCCAAAACACCACACAAACCACTGCATCAACAAAAATTGTAACAGTATTGTTAAAGTGGACTGGCCGGCACCACTCTCTTGTGCAACGCCTGTTGTGAGTTTTGGGAAAGTCTTAGTGCTAGAAATTGTGTTTATTTGCTTGAATGTAATTTCATAATTCAATGAAATTGCCATGAAAAGCAGAAAAATACTGTGAAATCATACATCAGTGAGGACAGAAATGGCCTGTGCACACAGTTAAACTCCCTGCTGTGAACTCTGTGTCCTCCCAGCTGTGCCCGCACGTCCCAGAGCAGCCGCCCTACCTCTTTCTGCATCCTAAATAATTTCAGATACTCTGCTTAACATCTTTTTGGGGTTAAAGCACATACATATGTCACTTTGCTGCTAATTTACCCTTTCTCACCCTCTCCCACTTTTCCAGTTCAAGCCCCACGCTTCCTGCTACTACCCCCATCTGTGTGAAATGATGCAGTTCGACCTGATCCCTGAGCTGCGGGCCGTCCTCAGACGTTTCTTCCTGCGCATCGGCTCCGTCTTCCACATCGCCGCTCCCGAGGGGGCGCCTGCCCGGACTCCTGCATCCTAGATTGGGTGGGTGCAGGAAAAGGTGGAGGGGACGGATGGACAAACGGCGATGATGGTGGATGTAACGCATTAAAAAAGACGTTCGCCCCCTCTCTTAGACTGGAACAGATTACAGAGGGGCTACAATGTGAGGAGGAAGATGACAAAGACTGTAGCTTTTCTCTCAGTTCAGGACTCTGCATTAAAGTGTTCAGCTTTTCTACTACTGCACTCAGCTTGTAGAGAAGTCTTCACCCTGTCCTTCCTCCCTTCTTTTCTCTCGGGGATGAACAGCACTGTGACCAGCGCTCTCTGCTGACTGTTGTCATTCATCATCCCCCCCGACTCATCTCAAAGTGTAATGACTAGAAAAGAACTGTAAACAAATAATTTATTGATATTGTTGCAAACCCTGTACCTGATTTTTTTTTAATACATAACGAAAAAAAAAATATCTACATGCTCAAAGCAATTGAACTATACCATTGAATTTGATGAACCTTATATTTGCCCTATTTGCGAAAATCTCTTTGGCCACCTGTGCCTGTTAGAAAATGATGACACCATCAGTGTCGCCCTTATTGTGAGTTTGGTGATCTAATCAAAATATGTTGTAATATCTGAACCCTTATGTATCAATACCCATCCCAAAGCTTTGTTTGTCACTTTTAATGTTTATGTTATCTCTTATTGTTTGTGTGTTATTCGGAAATGGGCTGCTGCCGTTGTTGGAGAGACTGAAACTCGCAGGTGCATTTGACAACAATCTGCATCTCTTACAACACTATCAAAGATCTAATGCAGCTTTGTTTGGGACGTCTTTGCTCTGTGACACAACCGTCCTGTCATCTTTATCATTCTTGCCTGTCATTGACATTTTACTACTTATTTATTTTGCTCATTTTCTTTAATTTGTTTTATGATTTTTTTTTTTTTTTTTCAGGATAATTGCTGGTTTACAATTTAAGGTTGGTTGAAAGACTGGCTGCTTCCCTCTGTCATGCATTCCTTCATGTGTTGACCCACTAAGCCTTACACTGAAGGACTTACCATGGAGTCAGCTCCTCCTGGCTTTAGAATTACAGCTGGCTCATAAAACCTTCCACTAACCCATCAATTAGCACTATAAGGTGACACAGTGGTTGTTTGTTTCCCCAAACGCTTTTGCACATCTTTTGCAGACATATATTAACATCACCCAGCGGACCAACTTTCTCTGGATGGTTGGAGTGCCCATCAGTGTTGTGTCAGATTCAACAGTAGAGTTCAGCCACAGAAGGATTTAGGACCGGAGCAAAACCAAAGCTCCAATCTGCAGAGACACTGGAATCTCTGCATCCTGGATCCTTTGTAGTTTATTCCATGCCTTTTTTAAAGAAGGATGTATGTAATTATTTAAAGTGCATTTAAATATTTTTTGAGAAGCATTCCTTCCCTCGCAACTATGGATGTCTACTTTTCTTCCCTAAAGCTAGGGAATATATAAATATATATATACAGTGAATGAAAAAAAGCAGACTGTAAAGTTTTCAATGTAAGATACATAGAAATGAAAGTGCTATACGGTTCTATACATAATATTGTGATGTAATCTTCCAAGCATTTGGTGAAGTAATCAATAAACCTGAATTCTGATCCACTCCAGTGACTATTGATTCAGTTTTAAAGTGAACATTTTGACTTGTCAAACACAGGCGCTACAAATAACATTAATAACTGCTGCAGTGAAGGTTTTCCAGTACCAGGCCTGTGGCGATGTACGTGCTTCCTGGTCATTAATGTCACCAGTTACATCTGAACTTCTCCTCAAGTGAAAATGTGAGTTGCTCGAGGGCACTATAGCCAGTTTTTAGCCCTGCATATTTGCTGATGCCAGGTTTCAATCTGGGTTACAGTCTCTTTAACCATATGTCTACCTCACTGACTCTCATATCTGTGTTTAAAATAAGCCATTTAGTTTCAGAGATGGAAATGTGGATGATGGATTTCCAGCGTGTCTACATAAAGATGCCCAGAGAGTGGCACTGTGTGCAAACTGGTAGCCGTCCTGACGCGCGCTAGATTTTGGGGTAACAAAGGTTACCATGGAGACCTCGCACATCCTTTGTTTGGCTAACTAAAGTGGAATGATACCTAACAGCTGCTACATGGACCCCTGTTAAGAAATGCCATGTTATTAATCCACAAAGCAGTGAGTAGACGGACAAACGAGCAAGAATGTGTTGAACTCAGCCACCAAGTTAAATCATTAACGTCGGGGTCATACGCGAGTCTCCAACAACATAAACTAGCTCACTTTTAGCTAGTTAGCGCTAACGGTAGCGGGGACCCTCTTTCCTGCTAACACCGGCTAGTTCTCAGGTCAAGTCAGGGAGCGACTCGCACTCTCTGGTAGGAAGACAGCGTTTTTCTCCCTAGTATATTTGTTGCAGAGTCTTCACGTTGGATGAAACTGCCATCTCTCTGGCTTCTCCGATTGACTAGGTGAAGTTACGTAGGGAGCGTGGCTGTGGGCGGATCTGTGGTAGCCAGTAGCTAGCCAGGCAGGCTAGCAATGACGGATAGGATTGTTCCTGCCGGGGTCTGGATTCCTAGCCAGCAGGCATGATTTTATGGAGACCACCATACAAGTAAGAGCTTCTGGTCAGTCTACGAATGTATTTCCGATGCCTGTGTGTAAATCATTTGCGGGATTGTGAGAGAAGTAATGGTAGAGGGTGGATTTTCCTCTCAGAATCCAGCTAAAGGAAGGCGGTCGACAGATTTGGAAGAATGCGTAACCACAAATTTGTTTCCTGCTAGCTTCATTCCGTCAAATGTCATTCTGCTGGACGCAAAGAGTACTTGTAGACTGCACTAAATGATTTTGCCACTGCAAATAAACATTTTTAGGTGTTCCAGTCTACGAATGTGCGACTACACCAAGATCCAGGAGGTTAATATGATAGTGACAGCCATCTTCAGCAGCAACCTACAGTAACGTTAGTACAAACGGAGCTGTGTGTGTGAGTGTGTCTGTAATGCTTTGCTTAAAGATTAGTTTTTTATTAATGCTGATTCCGACTGTGGTGAAGTGTGTTTAAAGCTGCAACAGAGGGTGGTGTTGCAAACCGCAATTTTTATGCGATATGATTAAAGGTCTTAGCCCAGTGTTTATGACAGGAGAATGGGATGGCTTTGCTGCCTTCAGGGGCTCACGCTAAGCCCGTTCATCCGTAAGTATATTCAATTTGAGAAATGTGCTTTTGATTGGAAATAGCAAACGTGTGGGTTGAATAAAGCAACAACAGCACACACAGTTCACAGTTGGACAGCAGTGACGGGCTGGAAAAGAAAAATGCGACAGTCGTGTCGTCTATATTTCGGTTAATACACTAAACAACATGTATGTGACAGATAAAATGTGAACAAAAGAGTGATTGACGTCCGGCGCTAGTTATATATATATATATATATATACATACACAATATATATACACAATCGAAAAAATAAATATTATTTAAATCGGTTTGTATAACTGTTATTAACACTTTTTGATTACAGTTATAATGTATAAGTAATGTAGGATAGAAAACGCCATCATTTTGTCATGGGTAATGTTACCAGATGGAGTTTTTCTACTGGATTTTAAAGCCAGTACGATGATCGTGATCCAGATATTCAGACATCTCTGAAGGCATCCTGTTACGTAATAGGAGGGCTGGGCATGCAAAGAGTGGAGCGGAGGGGAAGGGAGACGTGGGAGGATATGTACAAACACTCCTTCACGCAAAGTGGCTCTTACATTCTTGGATTTTGACAGCTTTTGTACAGAAACAGCGACAGACTGACTGACAGACTGACAGATTTCGGGACATTTTGCCAGAGGGAGACGGTGAACGAACCGAGGATAACTCCATGTGATTTTCACTCAGTACAGCTGGTAGGACGCTCATGTTACTCTTCATATCTTTTACAGACTTCATATTTGATTAAGATGGAAACGTGGATTGATGTTTAATGTGGAGGTTTAGATCGATAGGCACACGGGGCTGACACAGCTAGCACGTACAGAGGCAGTACAGTCAGATGTGGTAGCCTACAGTGTCGCTAACGCAGCCTTGGCTGGTTTATCTCTAAGCTCCAGTCCAGATTCCACCATAATAAATACGGCCTCGGCCTTTATTTGAGTTAATATTTGAGCGATTGTTATTACAAATGTTGCGTTCAGGTGCTACATTTCGTTGCGACTCGCTGGTATTCCTGTATGAGCTTTGTGGTGTTTACATCAGTGCTGGGCTATTAAAACCCGAGCCACGTGCTGGGAGCTTGGGAGGTTGGCCATGTGGCCATTGTAAACACTGCTGCCTTGCGTGTCTTTATCTGCCATAAGAGGCCGTTTCTGATTTTTTCACTTGAAATACTCTGAACGTAGGTATGTGAGACGCTGAAGTTTTTGGGCTTGATAAGTAGTTCGCTTGCTTGGCCAGGAGCAAGTATCACGCTTCTATTGTACTGTTAGGGAGAGTAGTTATGTATTATGTAATGTCATCAGCACTATTTGCATGGAGCTCCCTTCACTCTGCCTCACATACTAATTATTAAGTCCAACATTATCAGCCTAAATGCCAATATTGTTATAGGAAAGGTCAGGTTCCTACAAGATAACCAGCAGGCTGTTTGGGATCACCAGCAGGTCATGTTCCTCCCACATCTTTTTGTGAGCTTCCATGCACCAGTTAGGAATAGTGACAGGCGGCAGAGGATGAGGGAATGGCTTTGTCAGACAACCGCCTTCTCGCCTCGTCCTTTGTTTCAGGGATGTAGGCCCACTTAAATTCAATGCACTGGCCACGGGATATGGACGTACATCTTTGATGAAGTAAATGTTTACTATAAGTCTTAGTAATGATGTAAAGTTGGTGCCTAAGTTGTGAAAATGTGTTTTTATAGAAAAAAATGGTTGTTTCTCAGGCAGCAAGTTATGATTATTTTATAGCAATTAATCTTGGGATTTTTTTCTGACTAATCAATTAATGACTTGATCTGTAAAATGTCTCACCACAATTTCCTAAAGCCCAAATTGATGTCATCTTATGCCCTGGTTTGCCCAATCAACAGTTCAAACATTCATCTATTATCACCTAAGATGGAGTCAGGCAGCAAATGCTCACAAAGGATCAGAATGAACTTGGTAATGTTTGGGATTTTTGATCAAAAGTGACTTAAATCATTAATTGTTTAATTGTTCATTTGATTTGAATTGATTCATCATTTCAGCTGCAGCTGTTTCCCTTCTTTCTTCTTACCAAAGGTAACACTAATACACCACCAATTCATTAATCGTTATATCATTGGGTTCAACACTACAATATTTTAGAAGGTGTAAGCAGACCTTGATGGATAGAAATTGCATATAACTATTAATTAACCAATCAATCTCTTTCTGTTTTCAGGGCAACTTTCCAACATATTAACCATCATAACTCTTCTGTTTTTTGCTTTAAGAAACTGTGTTGTGCTTTTATTTTTGAACAATGGTAAACTCACAATTATTATTTATACATTATTAATATTATAAACAACGTGCATTTGACCTTTTCATGCCAGAGTGCAATCAAGGGTTAATCCCTATGTGGCAATCTTAACATAACTGCCATTCGCAAGTTTCATACATCAAAGCTAAACCACAGAATTACTCAGGATAGTAAGTGATTTAATACTGACAGTAAGAATAGTAAAAAATAAATAGTAAGTAAAATATGCTTGTTAATAGAGTTTCTGACTTTGAGTTCATTAAGAGTTTACTGCATTATGTACACAGGAACTACATTGTGAGCAAACCAGTTTAACTTTAGAGGGCTTCTTTATTTGCTCATCGAAACAGCTCATTCTACATGAGCATGCTTCGATGTGATTATATCAGATCAGTGTCTGTGTGTGACAGTAACAAAGATAGCGTGGAGCTGATATAAACAAAGTGCGGAGGTCACTGAATAGGAGGGGGCGACTGTCTGCATGGACAATCAAGCCAGACTGTCCTTCTGATCTCTCCTCACCTAAACCTCACCTTCCTCTCACCACCCCTCAGTTTGTCTCTCGTCCTCTCTCTCTCTCTCTAACATACAAACACACATACGCACATACACACGCACACATAAATTCACTCTACGATCGTCTCATTAATATCAATGCCATCTGCTCCATATGTAACAGCCCAATTAGAGAAATGCACTTTGACCCTACCTGTCCAAATTTAATTTGAGAGTCTACAGCCATCCCTGAACCCCCCCTTCCTCACACACATATAATCACAGCATGCGTATAGGCTATCCAGACTTTGACCTTTCATTGTTGTCTCTTTACAGGGCCTGAGCTGATTTGTCAGCCTTGTGTAGGTTTGGTTTTCACCCCCCAAGTGTCCTCTATATATCAGCAGACTATGGTGGTCTGAACAGAGGAAACGCAGGGAGAAAGCCTGGCACAGTGTGTGTTCACTCTAACACAGCAAGGCTCGACCGAGAGAGGAGCAGAGACGGACTGGAGCAAAGAGAAAAAGAAAATTTAACACAAAATGTCTCAAAACAGAGAACTGGTCGTTTTCTACATAAAGCATAAGCTCTCCCAGAGAAACTATCCTCTCACCCACATGGAACTCAATGAGTCTCCCAACAGGACTGATGGCGGGGAGGCAGGGTTGGTTGAGGAACAGCGGATAGCGACGCACGCCAATGGAACTTTTAATGGCACAAGTCCTGGGACCCGTGCAGAGTCCCCGCAGCGGCAGCAACGGCTGCCGTCAACAACGAGCCTGGACGCAGTGAAAGAGGCCCTCCGGGATTCCGCCAACGAGTTTGAGTTGCGATACTCCCGCGCCTTCAGCGATCTGCACAACCAGCTGCATATCACGCCGGCCACAGCTTACCAAAGCTTTGCGAACGTGATGGATGAAGTGTTCCGGGACGGCTTCAACTGGGGCCGCATCATAGGGCTTTTTGTGTTCGGCGGGGCGCTGTGTGTCGAGTGTGTGGAGAAGGAGATGAGTCCTCTGGTGGGCAGGATCGTAGAGTGGATGACCGTCTACCTGGACAACCGCATTCAGCCATGGATCCAGAGTCAAGGAGGATGGGTGAGTCTCACACACACAAACACACACACACACACAGAAGTGTGTTTGAGTGCCTGTAGTATGATGCTATCTGTTTGTATTGCCTCTTTGACACCAGGACCCTTCAACATTACTGGGTTCAGGTATATGGGTAATGCAAGCTGAGGTCAGGGAGACAAGATATTATCCTGTCTTTATGTTTAACTAGTTCTAGAAACGTGTATGGATGCTCATGGCTTTTGTTGATATGGTTGTATCACCGATCATTTGGCTGTATGTGCCATTTCAGATGTAGTTCTCTATCACAGTTACGACCAGATTTGATCAAGTCTGTTGATGTCTTGTATGCATCATGTGCCAGTTGGTCAGCCATGTTTCTGTCTGAGCAGTGACGCTTGATTATCCACATGAACTGACCTCAAGTCACACTGTATGGAAGGGTATGGAGGGTATGAAAATCCAGAGCATAGTTCTTATTTTATCATGCTTGTTGTGATTGGGCTTATGCAGGTGGGCCCAGATAAGATAGTATGACTGCATTTAATTTGTATCAGCCTCCTTGAGATTATGACATGGCACAGAGGTGGGGCTGGATCTGCAACCAGTGGAGGAGAAAAAGCTTCAGATTAGATATAATAGAGCAGAAAAAAGGCACCACACGTTTGAAAAACCATCTGTGCTTTAACAGTAAAAACATCATGTATGTTTGTGTGGTCAGCAGCTGGTTCAGCTGTTCTCTAATTGATCAGCAGCATGGAGCTCAATGAGCTGAATCGAAGTGGGAGCTTAACAGGCTACATCAGGGCTTTTGTAGCTCTTTGCAGCCTGCCTGGGGATCGAAGTTCTCTCATCACAGGGTGGGATGAAGTCCAGGGCTTTTACAGATAGCCCTTTGTTTTACTCCGGTCAGTTGATTGGCTCTGTGCTTTTTTTTTTTTTTCTTCATTCCACTATCAGTCCATTTTTTTCCTCCTCTGCCCTGACCGCTCTTCTGTTATGTTCTTCACCAAGACAGCTGCATGCAGATGAAAGCTCTGTGTTTTTTTTTGGGGGGGTCAGTTTGAAAGTGGGCCGTCCTGGTACTGACAATCCCTGTGTGTGTGTGTGTGTGTGTGTGCGTGCGTGCGTGTGCGCGCTAGTGAACTCCTCCAGGACAGTTAAGGTCAGCTCTTTTCCTTTGTGCCCGCTATTTGATGGTATGAAGGAGAGCGGGAGCGAGGGGAGGGGCTGTTTATATTCACTGCAGTGCTGTATAACGCAAGGTCAAAGGTTGATCCTGTGGAAATTGACATACCATTGGCTGAACAGCATACTTAGAAGAAAATCCAACTGGGCAGACCATGGCATGGTATACATGTATATTCACTGTTTCAAGGTGTCTCCCTACTGCATTGATGTAATTTGGTAACATTGTCCATTGTAATGGCACAGATGGCACAGGTCATAGATGTCCAAGATGTCTTGAATGTATTACTCTACATTCTCTGCAGTGTGGCTTTCCCTAAGCTCTTTTGCTTTGAGTACATTTCCGAATCATCTGAAATGAAGTGGGTTGTTACTGTGATATAGGATGCTGTTGCAAGGGAGGTCCACCCATCTGTGGTAAGAGCCACAACTTTGTCTTTGAGTAATTCCTTTATTTTGTCTGAGGTGCTGTTTTAGATGTCTATGATTCCCATGGTGATTGTTCCAAGGATACGGATACCATACCTTGGTTCCAACTCCTGACAAGTTTCTTCATGTAAGCCTCTTGTGCTGCAGAGAGTGAGCTTGTGGTGGGCAGTGTAAAATATGAGTCAAGACATGACTGTTTGTGTGGTGTTCCGGACATCAGGTCATGCTCATTTGAGTGCATATTTTCAAGATGTGCCCTCAGGTTGCTAGTGCTGGAATGACAGGCTAACTGTTACAGAGCTTTCATACAACTTCATCTCGTGGTTTCATAATTTTGCCAACTACTGTCCAAAATCTGAATATTTTCAAAAGGGTGCCTGGAGTGCGACTCACTCTCTCTGCAGTCGAGTTGGGTTGTGATCTCCCTGCCATCGTTACCCCACGGTTGTTGTTAAGTTATTCGCACATTTCCAATCAATGAAAGCGGCGTTGTGTGGCTCCAGTCCTGTCTGTCATCTATTGCATTCAGCCCAGGCTGAAGCAGACAGCCGCAGTAATGCTCCTTTTTTTTTTTTTTTTTTTTTACAACCGAATATTTTTCGATTTAAACAATCGAAATTAGAATAATCGTTGACAGCCCTTTTGTCTTCACAGTGCAGACAACACAACTTGCGTGTGTAGTTGATGTCACATAGTCAGAATGATCGAGGCACCCACACACACTCCCTCAAACACACAAACACATTTACACACTCATACAAGACAGTTTACTTAGCAACGAGTTGGGTTAATAACATCAGCTAACAACATGATGAAGCTGCTTGTGGTTAGTGGCTTACATGTCAGTGTAACCTAGACTTGGAAAGTGAGTGACTTCATCAGAAAGTTCAATGGATCAGCTTGTACCAGCATCCTCTGTTATGGTTTCACTTCTCCTGCCGATGATTAACATTTTCTTGAGTACGTGATGCCCCTTCATTCCCTATACAGATTTGTGTTTTTCACTTTTATTCTGTTGTTGTGTCAGTCACCTGCTGCAGGAGGGAGAGCACTGGCTTGATATGTGCCCCATGTTAGTTATTCAGAAGCTGACACACTTGCCACAGGGGTAGGAGCTGCAGTGCAAACTACAGAATATATTGAATAATAATATTGTTCAGTAGGTGGATTACCGGTGGAGTCATATCATTTCTATCAGTTGCGCTTCCCCTCTGTCACAATAGCTTCAGTTGATCCTTTTTTGTGGTTTTTCTGTTCAAAGCCAATCTAGACGTTCCCTAGAACGTACCAGAGTCTTTCAGTAAACCCACAAGAGACTTTGTTGTTTTTCTTTCTTTCTATCTTTTATTTCCCTTTCTTCCTTCCTTCCCTCCCCTGACGCCTCCTCACAGGGAAGAAGCACAGAACCGTTGGCAGATGTTGGAACCTGAGTATAGCTGTGAGGCAGGTGTTCCCTTAGTGTTAGCTGATGAAATACTAGTCTGCTCTTAGCGGCAGCAAGGTCACTTTCTCACCTTTTTCTCTCAGCTATCACTCTGTCTCATGATCTTATTGTTTCTTCCAAACTTTTTATTATTTGCTATTTTGCAGGTTTTTGATAAACTAGAGAGGAAAGGAAAGTTTTGTTTGTAGGTGATAGTGTAACAAGAAAAAATATGATGTAACTGGATGATGTAAAATTATGTTTTGAAGCTATTCTCTGAAGTGATTTGCATGATTAGTTGAACTTGTGGGTGTTTCCCATAGGTTGGAATTTACAGTGTTTTTCTGATCTGCATAATGTGATGCTTAAGAATAGACTCCAAAACAGTATTACTTTCACAAGCTCACCGCTTATTAGGGAAGCAGTCATTTCTCCAGTTATGCTGCACATGAATGCACCATTTGGTACAGAGCTGAGGCAATCAGTTGACTAATTGATGATTAGATTGACAAAATATTGACTGGCAACTTTTTTTGATAATCCAAACCCAAAATGCAAACACTGCATGTTTTCTTATCATATATGATTTGGGCTGTTTGTTTGGATAAAACAAGCAATTTTAATATGTCACATTGGACTCTGTCATTTTATAAATGACTTTTTTCACTACATTTTGTGGACAAAATATTTGATCAATTAATCTGCTGATTATTTTCTTGAGTGATCAATCCTGAAAATAATTACTTGCATGCCTAATTATTTTAGACATTTTTTAAAATATTGGTCATTATTGGTTTCAATACATTATTACCAAGAAAAATAGATTTTAATTTATCACACAGTCTCATATTTCAAAATACTCTGTACAAAAGGTCATTTTTTAAATCTAATATAAGAAATGTCCCTGGCTGGTTCTCATCCTCATGAGTAAAAAAAAAAAAAAACATGGTTATTAAAAAATCTAATGTAAATGCAAGTAACAAGAGGAGACCATGCTACTGAAAAGCTATTGTTCTCTTTAACCGCTCACAGAGCACTACGGCCATGTAAACACGACTACACATAAACACACCCAGTGAGACAGGCTTTTGAGCTGGTGAAATAGTCGAGGTGACAGTTGGATATTGAGAAGTGAAAGGTGTTTTGCGCAGCAGAACAAATCTTGCTGATAAAGCCTCAGCCTAAACGATCCCGCTGGAGCTTATTTCGGAGTCTCCGCTGTCCAGGATGCTGAGATATTTGATAGTAGCTCGGGACATGAGGTAAATATCCTCAGCCAGATTCTCCCTCCACAGCCTGTGTTTTTAAAGGAAGCGCAGGAGTGAAGCCATATATTGTCAGATAATAAACCTCCTTGGCAGACAGCAGAGGTAGAGACACTGCCATCGACCTAATAATGCTGTTTCCAGCAGAGCAGGCGATGGCAGTGATTACTCAGTGGAGATTGAGCCGCCTCGGGGTGGGGGTACGGGGTTATTACCAATTATAGATGAATAATATCTCGACCTGCTACTGGGGGAAACAATGTTTTTTTCCCCTCTGACAGACTAATAAAGGCTAAACTCATTTAGAAGAACCACGCTGCCACGGTCTGGGGAAGCTTGGCTGGAGCTGGATGTGAATGGGGGGGTTTCGGTACGGTACAGAAACGGTGAAAAAAGAGACCATTAGCCCAGTTGTTCTGCTTTGTGGTGTTGATGGTCTCGCGAAGGTCACGAAAAAGAAAATGAAACAAAAAATGTCTTTGAGTAGTGAAATTCTGTCTGTATTAGTTTTTCTTGGCTGATTTTTTTTGCCACTTATGGCTGTCTGCTGATATTCTATATTTTTCTTATTGTCTATAAATACCATGAAAAGACCAACACAAATGGTTGATCTGATCCTACTAACAAGTACTATATCTTACTCGTCTGTAGCATTGAGATCCATTGTTGCCCAAAATCATTAAAAACACATCAGTGAACCACACCGCTGCACTGGCTAA